GTAGCAAAACACGCAAAACACACACCAACATACAGTGTGTCCATACTCAACCATTACAATATACATTTACTCCACAAGAGTATAAGATGTACACTTGTGTTGGTATACAGAGGTTGTAAATTCTAATGCCGTTAGTGCGTATTTGCTGCGGTTTTGCTCTCTACTCTCTGCGTTGAATTTCCCAAGGCTTGCGGGCGGAAAACCGGCAATTTATATCCGACGAGACCGCTATCGTTGATTGCACGTTGCGAATTTTCACGAATACACCGATTATTCTCTAATTTCGCAAAACATTTTAAATTTCATTTTTCAGGTGGAAATTTTAGATTTTAGAGGTTTATTAATATACCATGTGTTTCAGGGGGTGCTTGAGGGGTAATTATGACGGTTCGTGTTTCGTGCGTGAAACTTATAATTAGTGAATAATTCATCAATCATTTTTAATCACTGAAACACGCCAGTTTCACTTTCTGTCATGTAAAAAATCTGAGTTTTTCAAGTTTAATTCGTTTTTATTTCAAGGTAATAGGTGGGGTTTATAATTTTATGATAAAATATAAGTGGGCGGAGCTTAAAGTAACTTTTTCTTGAATATAACCTCAAATATTAAATGTTTTTTAAGGTTTTAAAGATTAAAATGCAATTGTTTTAGTTTTTGTCGTAAAAAATCAGTTTTTGAGGTTAATTCGTACTTACGGCCATGTTTATGGGCCTGGTTTATAACCTCATGTTAAAATGACAAGTGGGCGGAGCTTAAAATGTATTTTTTATCAATATAACCTCAAATATTCGAAGTTTTTCACCTTTTTAATCATTAAAACTCGATATTTTCAGTTCTTTTCATTAAAAATCTGTTTTTTCAAGGTTATGTAAAATTGGTTCATAACCTCACTTCAAAATGTCAATGGGCGGAGCCTAATACATGTTTTTCTTAAATATAACCTTAAATATTGACTAGTTTTCACGTTTTAAACACTAAAAACACTTTTATTTCATTTTTCGTCTTAAAAAATCTATTTTTGAGGTTAGTTCTTAATTTTAAAAAAATAATGGGCGTGGTTATTAGAAAATGTCACTGGGCGGAGCTTAAAACCATTTTTTCTTCAAAATAACCTAAAATACCTCATTTTGAAATTTTTCACAATTCTCATCACGTTTCCAGATAAACCTGACGCAATATTTCCCAACTTGGCAATGTTCGGCGTTAAACATAACAAAATGAGACATATCGCCGGCGCTCAGCCTTAAACCACTCCTCAAATGCACTGCTATTTATTTGCGTTTGCGCATGACTCGTCTTTCTTTATACGCGTCATCAATCATAACCACAAAACCACAAAAACCACCACACAATGTAGCATAAAGAAAACACACAGAGAAAACACGCACATAATAAAATAAAAGTGCTTAGTCTTTATTCGTCTTATTTAGACGTAAGTTTAGTGCCGGTACAGGTGTGCGGCAAGTGCAGCTTTAAGTTAGTCGAGCGGGAAATTCCAGGATTCACGATTCAGGCATCCTGATGCAGCGTGAATGCAATTTGTAGCCGGGGACGAGACACGGACATAATCAGCAAGCCAAACGTCGACTACGTTATCGTCTGACACGTTTTATAAGGGCACTTTTTTTTTAAATAGAAATGTACAGTGTGGTAGAAGTTTTCGGATTTTTAAAGTTAGAAATTTATTTTGTTTTGTGAATAACTCGAGAACGCATTGACGGATTTTTATTATTTTTTGTTTGTGTTATGTGTTATTGTTTATAGTATAATACTAAAAAAGAAAATTTAAAAAATCTTTAAAAACAAAAAAGTTATAAACAAAAAACTTTTGCAAAATAAGTTTTTTTGCCATTTTCGAAATTTCTTTTTCTTATAACTCAAAAACAGTTTGGTGGATTTTTATAATTTTTTGTTTATTGGATGTGTTATTGTGTAAACTATAACACCGAAAAAGAAAATTTAAAAAATTTATAAAAATAAAAAAGTTATTGCCAAAAAACAAGTACAAAATGAGTTTTTTGCAAAAAATTGAATTTTTCTTGTATTTAAAACACTTTGTATGTGTAATATTCTGCTTTTGATGAATATCCGGGTGTCTGCCTCAGCGGCGCGTGCTTTATTTTATCGTCATATATCTCGCGCACGCGGCAACCGGGACTTTCCCGCTTTCCCGCACATCTGCCAAGAAGAGCCGGGAGGAAAAGCGGAAAATATTAAAAGCTCACAAACGCGCACAAACGAAGCTCCTACATAAGCATGTGTATTGTGTGTCATTAGACGCCATTATCCAAAAATAAAAATCAAACAACAAAAGAAAAAAGCAGAAAATTTTCTTAAAACTTTTAAAATTAAAATCCATCAGAGAAAAAAATATATAAATAAATATGTATAAATATATAGGAGTAGGTAGAGATGGTATATAAAAGCGGTCCTTATTTAATTTTCGTCCTTTTGACGTCAAATTATCCTGTCGCTCATCGTTTGCTTCCGCTTTGTTTCGCTCCTTCTTACAGAAATTCACGAAATGATTTTTGTTTGTTTCCTTCTTTTTTTCTTTCGTCGCTTTTGACGTACGTATTTTGTTAGGTTTCTTTTTTGTGCATTTCGCACGGGCCGTTGCGCTCGCGTTCGGCTGTAGTTGAGTGGATAAAAGTTGAAAATGTCGACGATCCGAAGGGAAATCAAACTTTTCGAAAGTTTACAAATCAAACCTGACAAAATCGAAAACAATATTCATAGCTACATGTACATATTGTACAAATATTAATTTTTTAAATAAATTTTAATAAACAACAATAATAAAACATTTAATATTTATTTTTATTATTCTTATTATTATTATTTGTAAAGTCTTTATTTCATCTCGAAAGCTTTGTGAATCTTTAGACGTCAATATAAATTTACGACGATATCAATAAGACGCGCCATGGTTTTTATTTTCTTTTTCTTTTATTTTATTCTTTTGTTCCAGGCTTTAACCTGTGCTATATTGTATTTTATTTACGTACAAAATAAAATTTTAGTATTTTATAATATACTAGCTGTTGCCCGCGACTTCGTTCCGGCAGTGTTTAATAAAAATGTAATTCGTTTTTACTCTCTTGTTCTAGACATACTCGTAGTAAGAGTCAATTCTATCAATAAGATTAGCAATTTTAATTTAATGAAATTAATTATATAAAGTTTTGTCAATAATGCACTTCAGCGCGCCATCTTGAATTCAACTATTTAACTATAACTATGATTGAATCTCAATGTCAAATTTTATTCTATAGAAAAGAGCTGTTTTGAGGATTTTCCCGGCAATTATTCGAATTTTTCTCACCTTTTAAACCTTCCCTAGACCTCCACGAATAATTCAAGACCAAGATAAGATAAATCCGTTCAGCCGTTCTCGAGTTTTAGCGAGACAAACGAACAGCAATTCATTTATATATATATATATATATATATATAGATGATTTCTTTAAATTTTTAGCAAAAATATCATTTTTATCACTTTTAAACTACAATACAACCTGTAATATACTATATAAGTGTCAAGTGGCTAAACGGGAGTTTTAGTCACGATATTGAGTACTTTAGTCACGGCCTTGACCATCCTCGTTTAAAATACCACTTTCTGTGTCTCTAAACCGTAGAAAACTTGACGTTTTTTTTTTCTTGGGCTTAACCTTCGCTATTTTATGTTGTATTTATTTATATTTCGTATAATTTATAATTTTACCTTTTTTAATGTTTATTTCTTAAATTTTACCAAAATTTTTACTTTTTTCTTTTCTCTAGGCCAATTCTATAGATATTTATACCCACGTTGTATCTCATATTCAGTCGCTTCGATTTCCCCGAGTTTCCTTTATTCCGCGTGCATATAGTGTGGTCGTGCGGTCCCGGAAGTCCGAATTGTTCGCGGTTTCTTTCAATTTCGCCACATTCACGGCCGCCATTGTATCTGACCGAGAGTGGAAGAGTGGAAGCAAAATACTCGTTACGCATCCGCAACTACCACTAGCACCACAACATTGTATCCCATGTCCCAAAATAATAAAAAAAACTCCAAAAGAAAAAAAACTACTTGACTGTCCCCACACAGACCCGTATTAATAAAATTAATGAAATTAATTAAAATAATAAAATTTGTTATGAAAATAATTCAAGTCCGACTCTGTGGCTTTTATTACCTTTACAGATATGGGTACTACTAGCGCGAGTCTTGTTGACTGCGACTCCCGAGAGCAATTTCAGCAATTTCGGCGCCATCTTTGCGTTTCCGGTCGCTTTGATCGCCTGCAGGCCGAAAATAAAACACATAAAATCGAACGTGCGAGCGTGCGGACAGTGGGCCCGCAGGCACGCGCCTTCGAAAACTTTCATCTACAAACCGGAAAAGCCTCAAATCTGACAAAACCAGCACAGCGTGCGCGCGCACCACGCGAACATTTTTCCATTTCTTTACCTCGCGTAGCGAGAAATAAAATTGAACTACGAGCAGCATGTAGGTTTTGTGTAATTTCGTGAGTTGTATCTTTTTCAACGAGTACGTTGGGTTGCCGAGCATTTTTTAACAATAAATGAAGTAAAATCGACGTAAAAATGCATAAAAAACACGTTTTTGTTGATAATAACAGAAAATATAAACATTTACGTTTATAAATCATTAAAATATTATTATTATATCAAAGGAAATAATATCTCTCGTTTTAAATTAGTTATAAATTACAACGACCTTGTAATCAAGTGCAAAACACTTGATATTATGAGATCAAAACAATCATATATAATAATTACGTCCTACTAATACCGCGTGTTCCTAAATTTATCATTTTAATCATTCCTAAACACAAAAACAACTTAATCATTAAAAATTCCACTATAAACACACTGTGTATCATGTTTTTAACTTATCACAACATATGATTAAGATAATAATAGATACCAGAGTTAATACTCCTCATTACTCTCTGCGTGTTCAACAAGTGAACATCCATTACTAATCAAAATGGAGTTAGATAATCGTATGAAGTGTCAAGTGTCAAAAATCGCCGAAAAACACAATTTGACAGATTATAACCTCACAACCGATGCAGGCAGTGCTCTTGGTGATAACTACCTCGGTACAATCATCAAAATAAAACTAAGTGAAGCCTAAAACCGTTAAAGTATTGAATTTAATACTTAAATCAGCAACAGCTAATCCAGAAATCAGAGATATACTACCCATTGAACACATATTCGCTAGGGAAGTATACTTTTACGAAACAGTACTACCAACATACAATCAACTACTAGAAGAGCATAACCAACAAAAACTAACTTCATTCCCAGATATGTTAGGTTATGATCTGTCAATACCAGAGTTTTTAATTATGACAGACATGAAATCGCAAGGTTATGTAATGAGACCTGATCGTGCTGAACCACTGGATTTCAATCATGTAAAAATGGTTTTAAAAGAATACGGAAGATTCCACGGTTTATATTATGCTTTGAAAGCGTTAAAACCTAAATTGTGTAAGGAGATATCCGCGAATATGTCTGAAGCATTCTATAACAAGATGGCGGATGATAATCCACTCTTGAATAGTTGTATGGATGTAGCTAATGATAGAGTTATGAAATCTTTTCATAACGATGAACGAGATGCTGAAGCTATGGATAAATTTGAAAAATATGCAAAATGTGCAAAATTGAGGTTGAGGGATGATTTGAAAGATGGCGCTGCTGGTAGATTCGAGGTTATTAACCACGGGGATGGATGGGTTAATAATATGCTGTTTAAATATGATAATGAGGTGATTATAACCTTAAAATTTATGTTTTTTAAAGAAATATGTGAAAAAACGTAAAACTAACCTAAAAATTTTTAGGAATTGATTAATTTATGTTTATTGGACTTTCAACTGTCGAGATTATCATCCCCGGCACTGGAACTATCATATTTTATCTATACTTGTACGGATCAAGTATTTAGAGATGAATATTTCGAGTTATCACTGAAATATTATCACGAATCAATGAAAAACACTTTAGAAGTGTTTTCTCTTGATTTGAGTGATTTTTTAACCTCTGAGGAGTTAAATAATCAAATGCAGAAATTTTCCACGTTTGGTTTGTTTATGACCATAGAAGTATTGCATTTAATGCTTAGTGATACTGCAGAGATTCCGGATTATGAGGTTATGATGGAGAAAGATGGCTTGGAAGATACTCTCGCTGCGTTTTCATATGAAAGCAAGAATGAGGATTTGTATCGGAAGCGAATACGAAGTGTTGTTTTGGATTTTGTTCAAAGAGGTTATCTTTAAGTGAAAAGTAAATATATTCAAATGTAGCTGCTATGAGAAGAGAGGAAAGAATTGTGTTTTTATTTTTTGGTTTTTGTTTTTTCCATTTCCTCACACTCGGATTAAATTTAACTTTTTCGCTTTTCGGGGTGTGATGATGTGACATCCGTATCGAGGGTGGAAAAAATCGGAAATTCTGTGTGTGACATGCAATGCACGCGAAGAGCGAAAAGGAAAACATCAGCTTTACTTCATTTCCGGTTTGTGATCAAAATATATACGGGTTTTTTACTGCGCATGCGCAGGAATATCGACCAATTACGTATAAGTAAAGTAGGAGGAGCAAATTAACCTTAAAAATTAAAGTTTTGTGTTTTTTGTTTTGTTTTCTGAGTTTTTTACAGTTTTAAGAAAAAATAAACACATTTCTGGTTTGTAATCAAGATATATACGTAGTTTTTAATGCGCATGCGCGGAAATATCGACCAATTACGTGTAAGTCAAGTGGGAGGAGCAAATTAACCTCAAAAATTAAGTTTTTATGATTTTTGTTTTGTTTTTTTGAGTTTTTTCAAGTTTTAGCAAAAAATAAACACATTTCCGCTTTAGAATCAAAATATATACGTGTTCTTTATACTGCGCATGCGCAGGAATATCAACCAATCAAGTATAAGTTAAATGGGCGGAGCAAATTAACCACAAAATTCAATTTTTCGTGTTTTTTGTTTTGTTTTTTTAGTTTTTACGAGTTTTAGCAAAAAATAAACACATTTCCGGTTTGTACTCAAAATATATACGTTTTTTTTTACTGCGCATGCGCAGGAATATCGACCAATTACGTATAAGTAAAGTAGGCGGAACAAATTAACCTCAAACTGTAAGTTTTTGTGTTTTTTGTTTTGTTTTTTTCAGTTTTTTCGAGTTTTAACAAAAAATAAACACATTTCCGATCTGTAATCAAGATATATACGTGTTATTTATACTTCGCATGCGTAGGAATATCAACCAATGATGTATAAGTAAAGTAGGCGGAGCAAATTAACCTTAAAATTCAATTTTTCGTGTTTTTTGTTTTGTTTTTTGAGTTTTTTCGAGTTTTAACAAAAAATAAACACATTTCCGGTTTGTAATCAAAATATATACGTGTTTTTTTACTGAGCATGCGCAGGAATATCAACCAATCATGAATAAGTTAAGTGGGCGGAGCAAATTAACCACAAAATTCAATTTTTCGTGTTTATTGCTTTGTTTTTCAAGTTTTTTGAGTTTTTTCAAGTTTTACGCAAATAAACACACAAACAAATTGAATAAAACTTGTGCAAAATGAAACAAAAACATTTCTTGTTGGTTGTTGACAAAATGTAAGCATGAAAAAACTTTACAATGTCTTTAAACTGAAACTTTAGTCCGTTTACTTATTAATTACGAATGAAAAACACAAAACAAAAACACAAAAAAAATTTAACCTCTCTTAGTCCCCGTGGCGGCTTGAAAAACGCGAAATTAAAGAGATAAACGCAGCAAAAAACAAACGACATGAATATATATATAGTCAAAAGTAATTACAACATTTTTCCCCGCGCAGCATTCGGAAAACTTGCACAAGTAAATTAAAAGATAAAAAGTACGAAATAAATTGAAACACCAAAACGAAAACATTTTCGCGCGTTTCGACGAACGCAAAAAACTTTCCATTTACATGCAAAAAAGAGTATTACCTACAATTTCTTTCACAAACAGGAAAATATTTAATGATTTCCTGCTCTTGCAAGTTTTAAGCGTGAGACGTTTCGAAAATCGAATAAAAACGAATAAAAGTGTGCGTGGAAATGCAAAGAATGTGTAAAAAGGTATAAAAAGCTATAAGCAAGGTATGAAAATGTAAAATGCGCGAGGAGCACACCGGAAGAAGCACGAAATCAGAACAGGCGCGATGTGAAGCGTGAAGCCGCGCGATAAATAAAAATGAAAAATGGAATTTTGATTGTGCGCGGCGCGCTTGATTTATTCGTTATTTATTGCGCGTTATTTACGTTCCAGGATGATATTTCTTGACATTATAACTTTCCTCAACTTCATATTATACTTCTTTCACGCATGCGCATCAAAATTATGACTTAAGTCTAATGGGCGGAGCATATTTCATCAAAATATGTGATATTTCACTGGTTTTTGATATTTTCTCAAAATTTATGGACATTTTAACCTTTTTTGGCTTCATATTATACTTTTTTCACGCATGGACATCAAAAACATGACTTAAGTCAAATGGGCGGAGCGAATTTCATCAAAATATGTGATATTTTTCTAGTTTTTGATGTTTTGTCATAATTTCTTGACATTTTAACTCTTTCCAAGTTCATAATTTAAGTTTTTCACGCATGCGCATCAAAAACATGACTTAAGTCACTTGGGCGGAACATATTTCATCAAAATATGTAATATTTCACTAGTTTTTGATATTTTGAGAGAATTTCTTGACATTTTAATCCTTATTATCCTCATATTATACTTTTTTCACGTATGCGCATTAAAATCATGACTTAAGTCAAATGGGCGGAGCATAGTTCATATAATAAGCTAATATTTCACTAGTTTTTCATGTTTTGTGATAAATTCTTGATATTTTAACTCTTTTTAACTTCATAACATAAGTTTGTCACGCATGCGCATCAAAAACATGACTTAAGTCAAATGGGCGGAGCATAATTCATAAAATAAGCTAATATTTCACTAGTTTGTGATATTTTCTCAATATTTCTCGACATTTTAACCTTTTTCGACATCATATTTTAAGTTTTTCACGCATGCGCATCAAAAACATGACTTAAGTCATATGGGCGGAGCATATTTCTTAAAATAACATCATATTTCACTACCTTGTGATATTTTCAGATAACCCGTGAAGAAAAATGTAACCTAGTGCGAATCCAGAAAATTTCCCACGAGAAACCCGCCCCCAGACGATAAAACCACACACAATGTCGAGATACCAGATTGAAACTCATTTTTTGTTCAAAAACGGCGCCGACACGTTGCGAACAGCTTGAACTGACATCAATTTTCAAGCGTTATCGAGTCGCAGAGTTGTGAATCATCCCCAAATGAAAATTGCGCACAAAATAACCAAAAATACGAGCGCAATTAGTCATTTTATCAAAAAATGTGCACTAAATCAAACATTTTTAACCAAAAACCAGACAAAAAGTGCTTTAAAACACTGCTAATAAACTATAAATTCTAATTAAACATAAAGGGTTGGTCCACGGCTAGAATTCACTACGTAATTCGATCGAAGCAATTACTCCGAACAAGCTCGCCGACTAATCGAGCGTGAAATTGCGCCAAGGCGCCTCCGCATCTCAATAACACCCTCGTTGATTGATGGCGAGCGTCCGGTCAAGAAAACTACCCCTGCAGTAGTCATAGGTATCGTATAATCAACAAAGTGGCAAGTCGGAAATCTCCGTGGTTTGAGGTTAGATTTATCTGGCTATTCAAGCTCCCGACCACAACCTACACGCGCATTGTTACCGTAATTATTATTATAGCAAGATGTTTGCACTTTGGACATGCCCGTCAACTAATAACTAATTTTCAGGATCATGTTCAGTAGCATAATCAAGTTTCGATTCGCTAAAGTTAACCAAACATGATATTAACCTTTTAACTTGCGTAATTACACCGCCATCTTGTGGTGAAGCGTTTTTTCAGCATGTAATCATGCTGTCTTGTCTTGTCTACGTGTTTCCCACGTTTTCATGCGGAATTTTTCGTGTTTTTAGACTTTTTACTCACGTTTTGCTCATTTTTCAACCGTACACATCGATTTCCGACCGAATTTCCACACGTACATCAATTTTCTACTTAGTTCTACATACATCACGCTTTTTTCGTTTTAAAAGTAAAAATAAACGTAGTTAGGTGAAAATTTCCACCGTGTACTTGTACTGCAACCCATTGTGCTTTGTTTTCTGCTTTTACACGACCCACAGCGTGTATTGTATACACGGCTGTATTGTGTGAAGTATACTTTGAGTGTTATTCAATTATTTTATATTGTTTGAGCATGATGAACAAAATTATGAAAATGTTGCGTGGGGCTAATGCGTGTATAGGATTTCCCGCACGTTGGGGAAATTCTATCGGGTGTGCACGACATGTAACAATGTAAAATACATCGAGTGACATCCGTTAAAACAATGATAAATGCATATTGGACGACGGTTTATGCAATTTTACACGCGCACCTCTTGTTTCACAAGCTTAAGAGTATTATTATACGAAACAATGTTTCTTTTGTTGGTTGTTAGTAATTAAATAATGATAATAGCCCACCTGTTATGGAAAATTACTTGGAATGGCGGTAAAGTCGGCCATTTTGGTTCGGTTTCTGCGCCGATTGGAATGATAACGTTTCGCGAGCGTAATCTTCGCAATCTGCGCTCATGTGGAAACACATTTCGACGCAGACGAGTATATTTCCGGGCGCAAAAGGTGAAATATCCGCGCTAGTTCAAGTCTCTCCCCTTTAACCATCTATCGCAACCCTGCGGTCGTAATACGAATTACAAATCTTCAAATCGAACTCATCAAATTACAATTTCTAATGTTAAGTGCACCATCTTACCAGTCCACTCTGTATAAACTGTGTGTTTGTTGAATTTCAGCCAAGAAAAAAAAAGCATTTGGTTTGTTCGGTTATGCACACACTGTGTTAAGTTAATATCATGGCTGTGGGGAGCCACTTGGAGAATATTGCAGCCTGCTGCTGTGAGGCACCAGCTCTCCAAACCCTCTAGCAATTCAACGCCTTGAATTGAATGAATTTGCCGGATTGAGCGTCGAATTGAAATGCGTGCGCTGTCGAATGTGTGCGCTTCGTATTAGACGCACAGAATGCAAATGCGAAAATTCAAATCCTGCAAAATTCCAATAGATTCCAAATAAATTCCAATGGCTTTCGTTTAATTTGATAGGCAAATTTTAGAATTAGCTTACCCAAGTATTTCAATATCAAAATTCAGCAGGAGAAATCATCACGCGGACTTCTAACCGTTAAAAAGTTTATC